TATATCATTAAATAATTATATTAAATGTATAGGGATAAATTAATACGAATTTGGACTATTGAAAACGAAGAAGAAGAAACAGATTCCGAAATTACCATGAAATTTCAAGAAAAATCTTACAGTCCATTAGATGGTCATAAATATAGCATAAATCATGTAGAATTTAGTCCTTGTGGTCGTATGCTTGCCTCCTGCTCTTTAGATGGAACTGTTGTTATCTGGAATACTGAGGTAATATCACATATATTTAAATAAAAATTATCAATGTTAAAATAGGAAAATAACAATATTGAAACATCTTAAAGAATAACGAAACATAACGACTTTTCTTTGGTCCATTTCATATAACTTTGTAAATTGTAAATTAAACTCACTGTTAGTGATGCTCTTTTATTACTTAATTTCTCGTAGGACGGCTGTCAAGCAAAATCTTCTTTCGTAAATTCGGGATCCGGTATTCGCGTTTGTCGATGGTCCCCGGATGGTACTAAAATTGCTACTGCTGGAGATGATGAAAGGACAACATTATGGAATGTGGATAATATGGAGGAACTTTGGTATATCTTTAAAATATTTTGACTATATTTCCGAATAATATCAATGATTGAAATCTCAATTTTGGCAATTTATGTCAAAAGAAAAATCACCATTACAAATCCCAATTACTAGATAAAATTAAATTTGTGAGAAGATAATATTTCTTAATAATTCTGCTGATAATATTTTCTGATAATTCACATCCATTCTCTGTCTTTAAATCCCCTAAAATCTACCAAATTTCATTTCAATCAGTCATTAATGCCTTTCCAAGTTTTTATATTTAAAATAGAAAAATCATATCTTTTTTTTTTTTTTGTCTTTTCTATTTAGAAATATACAAGTATTTAAAATTATAGATTTGACTCAAATCGGAATTTTTTTGGATTCGGATCGAGATCTCGAAAATTTATTAATTCATATTCAGATATTCATTATTTCGAGATTCGATTTTCGATTCAAAATCTAAAGTTCGATTCAAAACATGATTTTTTTGTCACTTAATTTTTTTAGTTCTGATTTTGTAATATAATTAAATACAAAAATTCGTAGATACCGATGAAAAGAAGGATCTTTCTCTTTTTATCTAAAACATCAGAACATCAAACTTGAAAAACGAATTATTGCTATTATTTTATAACATTCAAACTTCGATTACGCATGAAAAGGCGCATAAAAAAACTTGTTTCACTAGGGCCTTCTAAATATATATGTATTTGCTATTAAATTTTTAAGCAAAGAAAATAGTATTGAAAATAATATTATTTTATTTTAATTTAGAATAATTTTAATTTTAATTTTATTTATAAATTAGAATAAAGGAAACAACAATATTGCCAGAAAAATTTTGTTCTAAATGGAACAAATAGAAAATCAAATGAATCACAAATTGCATCCAAATAATATATTAAATACAACTTTATTTTTTTATACATTATTATAAATATTAATGAAAACATTATTTTTGCATACATACATATATATATATATATATATAAATAGTAAAATACACATTAAGTTATTATTATGTGCAGTGTTTTCAAAGGTCACTCCGATGCAGTAAACGCGATTGCTTTTACACCTGATTCTTGTTATTTAGTCACGGCTTGTAACGAAGGTACCTGGAGATTATTTGACATTGTGGATAATAAAAATTGTGCGGCGTTAATTATTTGTGGAGAAGCTCATGACTTAGGCGTACAAGGATGTGACTTTAGTCCATCGTCTGATTTTATATATAATAGTGAGTATTATAAAATATTATGAATTAATATTGATGTTTATAACTGCTCTTCGTAATTTATCATATTATCTTGATTTACAGAAAGAATAAATATAAATAATGATAAACACTTTTATTTACTGGCAACTGGTGGCAATGATTCAATGGTTAAATTATGGCAAATAACAATTGGTAAACGAGATGTAAGTGCAACAGGAAGTATTGGAAGCACTGGCGATGACATACAATATAAAGAAAAAAAAACTTTTACTGGACATGGTGGCAATGTAACTTGTGTTCGATTTTCTCCAATTCACAGCGAAATCTTAGGAAGTGTAGCGACCGATAGAACTGCACGTATATGGAGTATAGTAAGTATAATATTTAAATTATCTCTTTTTTATCTTTTATAAAAAATAAGTCATTCTTTTTCAAAAATGGCAATAACAAAAAAAAGAGAAAAATAATATCTAGATATGTGAAAAATTATTTTGCATAATTATTTATAACTTAAAAAATTATACATATAATTTTAGTATTCTGGAGTGTGTTTGTACGTATTAGAAGAGCACGAAAGTCTTGTAACTGCTTGTGCATTTTCGGAAGATACATCCCTTTTTATTACAGGTTTGGGTTATATTATTTTATCCAATGTACATTCTTTTAATTAATTCTTTTTTATATAAATAAATTATTTTAAATCATAAATATAGGTGCTCTAGATAAAACTGTCTTAATTTGGAAAATACCTCAACAATTAATTTCACAAAATATATTAATGAATAATTTAAAGTATAATAGAAAAAAGGTATTTAAAACATGATATTGTATAAAATAATATTTTGTTTAATAATAAAAAATTATGTTAATTATTAACATTTTTAATATTTAATACGAAAGGTTATAGATTGGAAGATTGATGATACCTTAAAATGGTTAGACGAAATAGGTTTATCAATATTAATTAAAAATGCTTCTGCGATTTCTTTAACGGGACGTCAATTATTTTCTTTATCGGAAAATGAATTAATAAAAAAACTGCATATAGAACAGGATGATGAGGTAGAATTTAAAATAATTTATATTTTTTCCTATTCCTATTCATTTTATGGTAATTTTAATTGCGTATACAATTGCAGACAGCAGAAGCACTTAAAACACAATTGTATTGGTTGAAACGTGAAGATGATAATTCTATAGAAATTTCTATAGACGATACCGAAATACCTCACGAATTTTTATGTCCTATTACACATGAAATAATGAAAGAACCTGTTCAATGTTCTGGTAATATAAATAAAAATTATAATTAAGAATTATTAACAAATAATTATTTTAACAAACATCTTAATTTCAGATGGATTTACATATGAGAAAGCAGCTATAAATGAATGGTTTTTATGTGGAAAATATACTAGTCCAATGACAAATAAATCTCTTCGAGATACTTCATTTATCCCAAACATTATACTCAGGAACGCGATATATACTTTTCTTCATGGAAATCGACCACAACTTTAAATACTAATAATTGTTAATGATTAATTTAAATTATAATTGAAAGTATAAGTATAGTATAAATATTTGTAACAATTTTTTTTTTCTTTTTCTTTCTTTTGATTAACATGTTAGCATATCTTTTTCTTGGTCACTTGACACTTTTCTTTGTCACAATTTAAGAAACTTTATCAGAAAAATTGTATGCACTCCCATACATAAATATATATGTAATGCTATAAAAGAACAAATCATAAATGCGCACAAAAATTTATTGTACAAATATAATTAAAAAAATCGATGAACTCGATAAAATATACTTAAATACACTTATATACATTTGTAATAATTTTATAAATATCTATTAAATAAAAATTTTAATTATATACATATAATATAAAAATGACTTATTTTTCAAAAATATTAAAATTAATATTTATTATCGATATTTTTAATATTGAAAATTAAAATATTCGATATTTTATATAAAAAATTATTTGATTGATATTTTTAAACTAAATAAAAATATACATATGTAAGTATTTAAAATAAAATGTTATTATTTATAAACATTTGGAATATATAATAGCTTCTTATTACTATTAATATTCGACCAATTAATATTGAAATTGTTTAAAAACAGGATGCTCATAAAGAAATTTATGATTCAAAATTATATGAAAAATCGAATTCATGTAAAAATTGAATAGTTTTTGAATGGGTACTATTACGCGTAGTTACAGCACTGTTGAATCAAAACAAGTGAATAATATCCGCATGACAACAAAATGTCGTAACATTCCTATCGTATATTTTTTTATATTTTATTTTCAAATTCAAAATGATACTCGAAACATTTTTAGATGATTTTGTTTTCATAAACATCGACAAAATTTTAAACTGTATAAAAAATTTATATTAGACAAAAAATACAAAGTTCATACATTAATTTTTTTAATAAATATAATTATTTTTTATTAATTAATCAAAATTATCAAATTAAATATCTATTAATATTCATATACAGAAAATTTTAAAATTCTATTTTAAAATTCTCTATTAAAATTATATTTATGTAATTTATTATGTGATTTTTGTCCCAAGATTATGCAATATATTTTTTAAAAACTGATAGAACGTGATAGAACAATTCTGCTTCTAAATTCATTTTTAAGATAAGAAATTTTATCAAAATCTTGTAAATATTGCAAATTTAAATTTATATTGTACAATATAATATATCGAAATATACAAGATAGTCTAATATAGTGACCTTTTCAGAGAAAAACCGAAACTATGTAATTCATCGAGATTAGAAATCAGTATCAAGTTCGTAAAAATATAATATTAATAATAGAGTTTCAAAGAATTTATAGAATATTTTTAAAGAATAATATTATAAAAACCGATAAGTTATTATGAATAAATGCAGCTAAATTTTTAGTTTCAATTATTTATATTATATTACTGTTACTATCTCATATAGCTTATAAATGAATATAATTTTTAGAATTTATTCTTTATTTTTTTGATTTCTTGTTTTTAACTATTTTATTTTAATCATTATTTTAACTAAACATATTTTAGGATTTATTAAAAATTCTAAATAATAATAATTTGTTAAAAATTCACTTTCATCTTGATTATTTTTATTTACTTTGATAATATTGCAGTAAAACCGATGACTATATAAATTCTTCGAAGATAACTAGATTGAAAAACTTAGTATGATTGGAGCGCTTGTGTCAAACGTGCACATATATACGTTCACTGTAAAAAGATACGTATTGTGTCTCTGACGATAAATAACAAAATGGTTAGTATTCTTATATACTTTCTTTTCTTTGCTTTTTTGCTATTTTATTACAAAAAATGTACTTAAACAAAAGTAGCAATAAAAGAATGCGTCATATTTTCAGGCATCTTACTCAGAGGATCAGTTAGCAGGTAAGTAAATACGAATGACATTTGCGATATCAAACAGAATAAGATTAAAGAGGGACGGACAGATTGTACTCGATGTTCAATTTAGGTCAAGAATATCGTTTACCTTATTAGACCCACCCTGGTGACATCGATTTACGTGTCGGTGATTTCCTTTTATGGTTAGGCACCTGAAAGAAATAGCAGCAGGAAAGAAGAAACGAAGACAGAAATCGAGTAGCATTGCGTCGTAGCGTCTGTAGAGCCTTTATATTCTGTTTTAAATCGTTTCCAAATATTGTTTTATTAATATACTTGTGTTGTAAACGAGATATATATTGTGTTAAGAAAAAACAAATTTTAATTTATTTATTAATATTCTATATTCTTGCTTTGAAAATGAAACGCAATATAGTATAAATTTTTTTTTTACACATATTTAATTAATTGTAATTGTTTCACTTCTTAAAAAAAGAAATCTTATTTTTTTTCATACAATTTATATGCACATGTATCTACTTATATATAAAGTACACAATGTATGGTTGTAGTTATCAAGAATTAACTAACAGAATGATGTCATCAATTGAGGGTAAATAAATTTATTATTCATAGAATATATCATTTTTTAGATATAATAAATAATAAAGAATAAATATTTCTTTACATATTTATCTATATTTATTCATTTTATATAATTATAATAATTATAATTATAAAATTTTTTATTGCAATAGAATTTCAAGAGGCGTTTCAACTATTTGACAGCCGAGGAGATGGAAAAATTCATGTAGCTCAAATTGGTGATGCATTACGTGCTTTAGGGCAAAATCCAACTGAATCAGATGTCAAGAAATTTACTCATCAACATAAACCTGATGAACGTATTAGTTTTGAAGTATTTCTACCAATTTATCAAGCTATAAGTAAATCTAGAACTTCTGATACTGCTGATGATTTTATAGAAGGATTGCGCCACTTTGATAAAGATGGAAATGGTTTTATTTCTTCTGCAGAATTGAGACATCTTTTAACCACACTAGGTATGTAAAAATATTTTTATTTCTAATTATTTAATCAAATCTGAATGTATAATTTAGTTTGTAATTTACAAACTAATTTTCTTCATTTTTTGACAGGTGAAAAACTTAGTGATGAAGAAGTTGAAACCTTATTAGCTGGTCATGAAGATTCACAGGGTAATATTAATTATGAAGACTTTGTTCGTCAAGTAATGTGCGGTTAAATTTATTTTAATAGATACAGTAATTCAAGTAATTCAGTACATTAATCAAAAAAATTTTTATCTATTATAAAATCTTTTATAAACATTTTTTATCTTTTTGATTTACTTATATTGTATTTTTTTATTATTCAAAATTATGTAAAATTATATACATAATAGTTACCCCAATATTATTTTATATTAGAAATGTAGAACATAAATCTTCTTTTTTTTTTTGTTTATTTGATATAATGAATATACATATACATTGTGCCTTGATGTGAGAAATTCATAAAAAGGTATATTCAAAGTCAAAACTAATATAAAATTTAAAGAAAAAAAAAAATTCAATCTCAATATATATAAAATTTTTTTAATATTCATGTAATTAATTTAATAATTTAAGTAATTATTTTTAATATTTGTTAATAATTCTTTGTTTCTTTCTTTCTATTTTCAAAAATGTTAATTATAAATATAAAAAACTGTATTCGAAAAAAATAAAATTTGTTAGAGATGAAATTTAAACATAGATAAACTTAAAACAAATATTTTTTTTTACATCTAATTATTTGAAATAAATAATAGTATGTAATGCTGTTATGAATCCAGAGATCAAATTTAAATAAAAATATACATATCAATTTTCATATTAAAATAGCTTTTTTATTCTTAATAGTGTAAAAATTTGTATTATAACGTGTAAAAATATTAACATTGTTATAAACATTTATCACCGTGTAAATTAAACAAATAAAAATATTATAAATCGATTTAAATCGAATCGATATATATCGAATCGAAACAAATCGAATGAAGTCGACATTTAAGAAGGAGCGCTTCAGTATCGTTGCATTCGCTTGAGTAGTACGGTTGCCTTGTGTGTTAGTAATTCTACGATAATTTTTTATCAGATAGTAATCGCTAGTCTAGCGAAGGTTTCATTGTGAGAAAGTAAAATTACAACCGTCAAAATTTTACGAAGAAAGAAATATGAGTATTAATTCCGGCCTATCATTAAGTAATTGTGAAAGTACTAAAAAAGGCATAATAATGCCAAGTTTAATATCCAGCAATTGGTAAGTAGCGACTACTGCGCCATTTGTCTTTATTTCATCACCGCCATCTTACATTCTATTTATTGGTATTTATGTATTCTTTATTATTTTTATTGGTCCAATAGTTTTTAAAAAATGTTTAATAATATATGTCCAAAATAATTTTTTTTTTCATGAATAAAAATTTTATCATAAATATATTTATTTAAACAACGAATTTTAAGAAATATTCATATAACAATATCTTCTATCATTCTAAAATCTTTAGATTTATAATTTGTTGTTCATGTTTAAAGTTATATTTTTTTTAATGAAGCGCTCATTATATTAAATACATATTAAGTAAGTATAATATTTTAAATTAAAATATTTTATATAATAGAAGACAATAAGAACAAGAATAAGAGAGAAAAACAAAATAATAATGAAATTGTAATATATTTCATAATTTTTCGGAAATAATATTTATTCTGTTATACTATGTATACTGCCACGTGAATCATGAACAACCATTGCGTGACGTAGAAACAACACGTATTCATCGATACATATCAGCTGTTTTCTCTATGCGTATAAAGCATAAAAATATAATAAATCAAATTTTTTCTGTTCTATTCTATTCTATTTTCTATTTTATTTTATATTATTTTATATATATGCATGCTATATGCTTGCATTCATATATATGTATATACGTATATATGTCAAAGTTAAACGATAAAGATTTCTTACATAATTCTTACTGTACTTATATAGACATATATATATATATATATATATATATATATATATATATATATCAATTAGTAAATATAAAGTAAAATCAGGATAATTTTAATAAGATTAGTAATTACAGTCAAAAAATTATCATTAGATAAAAAAAATATTTTATATTGATGATAATTACTTATCATTTCATTTCATTAAATTTATTTCAAATATGCAGAAACTAACTTAATATCAAGAATTTCACTTAATTATTCCATTATTTTCATATCGCAATATAAAAGATAAAATAATTAAATAATTAAATAAAATTGAATAATATATGTTAGTAAATTTAATAAATAGAACTAATATGTTAATAAGTTTATTTAATATGTTTAAATTTTTTTTTTCACAATAGTATATTCATAATATTAGTCTTATATATTTGTTTATTTTAGATAATAGATCGCTGTATAACAAGCAGTGATATATTTAATTTTACGAGTATACACAAATATATATTACATTACAACATAATATATTATAATTAATAATATATAATAATTATAATATTATATATATTATATTTTTTTTTATATTATATATATATTATATATTGTTAATTATATTTTGTAAATAATTTAATTTTAATATCAAGAAATTTTTAATAGTATATATAAAAACATTTTTTTTTTTATTAATTTGTAATAATATTTCATTTTTAATTTAATGAAATATTATTATATATATAATTAATTTTAAAATTTTATGATTTACTATTATGTGAATATTTAAATGATTTTATGTATACATACATAAATATATGGTAAAGATAAGATTTTAAAAATATTTAAAAAACATTACGAAATGAAATGAAAAATATATATATATATATATAATTTTTTCTTTTATCTATTTATTAAATTATTTATTCTTAAATATATATATATAGATATTTATATACATATATAAATTTATTATTCAGAAATTAATAAAATTACTTTTTTATTTAAATTTTAAAAATTTTTGAATAATAATTTTATTGTAATATTGATTTTTGTTATTATTAAAATTAATAGTAAAATTAATAAGAAAGAATTAAAGAATTAATAAGAAATTAAATATCTAATTTCTATTGTCAATGATAAAATTTAATCAAAGTCTTTTTATCTAAAATATATTTAACATGTATGAAATATTAAAGTTGATTTTACATGGAATTACAGTGACATGTCAAGTAAATGTATGGATGAAAGTTTAGAAGAAGGATCTAGATTTCAACAACATTATTGTATAACGTTGGGTGTGGGGCCTCTGTGGTGGTCCTGATGTGCCCCATGCCGCATTGTCTGTATCTACAGTCAACACAGAGAGCCACGGCGTGGGGATCAAGCAGAGTCAGCTCTCTGTGAGCTCCCATATTGTACAAGTATGTATCCTTAATTATTAATTCTGATTACTTTTTATCATTATGTTGTGATTATTATTTACTATTTACTATAATATTGGCTATAATATTATTGAAATATATATAAACCATAATAAAATAAAACTTATTCTTCTTTTATAATATTATTGTTAATTATAATTATAAATTATAAAATAGTAAAGTTTATTTATATAGTTTTAAACTTTATTTAATTTATATAATTTTAAACTTTTTTTAGGAGGATGAATTATTGAAAGCTGTACGAAATAGCGAATCATTGCGCTTAACTTTTACTTTGCATTTGACGGAAAGCACATCTGTCGAATGGGAAACAGTAGTATGGCGTCGTTGTCTTTATATTCGCGTGCCAAGCTGCCTTTTACCTGAAGGTTCAAAAGAAGGCTTCGTTTCTCTCCTGGAGTATGCTGAAGAAACACTACGATGTATAAATATCATCATTTGTCTGCGTAAAGACAGAGCGGATCGAGGTACTTGTCGTCAACCGTTCTTTGACTCCAATGAAAATGATTATGGAGGAAAAAATTTCTCGTCTAAAACATTTTGTTGTTATGGTTTAGCAATGCTGGTTCGTACCTTCATGTTTTTGGGCTTCAGTGTTCTACCGCCGACTCACTCCTTGGTACCACCAGGCAGTGATGCTGGCAATCTCTACATGCTCTATGCCATCGAGTAGTCAACCAGAAGCTCAACTTCTCTTTCAAATTTAACGCACAGGTATTTTTTTTTTTTTTTTTTTTTTTTTTGTTTTTGAAAAAAATTATTTCAATTAATTTTTAATCATTGGTAATTTTTTATTTTTATTTTTTCTACTTATTTAAATATTTTTTAATTATTTATATAAATCTTTATTATTTTCGAATAACTTTCTTTTTTCATTTTTTTATTTTGTCGATTTTTTTCAATTACAGGGGCGAACGCTGAACGGAAACGTATGTATTCTACGGCCACATCTCAGCATAAAAGAAAAATTACATTATACAATTTAACCCTTTGCGCTCTAATGGCTCTCAGACACCAATCGGTTTGATGCGATAATTCTAGAGGTAACTCTCCAGCATCATTTGAATTGATGTGACAATTCGAATGGCAACAATATTTATTTATGTTTGATTTTTTTTAGAATATCGTTTTATGAATAGATTTCTAAGTTGTTACATATATCTTATAAAGTATGAAATAATATATTATCAAATGGCTAGATTTTTTTTATCTCAAATTAAATTGTGATCGCGGATCAGATTATCTTCAACGTCCGAGTTTGAGAGTCGTGGCAATATTTTCAAAATTTTTGAATTTTGTAAACATAAAATATGATAATGAAATTAGTTCAAGATGAATTTGATTTTTTGTTATTGAATAACGAAATTACTTCTATTCATTAAGAAATTGACGAGAGAAAGAAAATAGTGATGAAAATAGAGATATAATAAAAGAAGATGAAAAATAAGAATAAGATAATAAGTGTGAGAGCATTTGTTATTGGGTTTGGTCTCAATGAATAAAAGTGAAAGATCAAACGACATTTTATTATGATACTTGCCCTGATAAACCAAGAATGCATCTTGATAATTTATATGTTAATTTGTGTGTAAAATCATTTTAAGTTAGCTTTAAGAATCACCAAATGGGTGCAGGAATCCTCTGGAATTATTGGTTTGGCCGAGCGAAAAAGATTTGGAGCGCAAAGGATTAAATATCCTAAATTATAAATGATGTTCTTTCTTTTTTAATTCCTTTAATAAATTTCATTGTGTTTATTATTAAGAAATTAAATTCATAAAAATTTCATAAAAAAAAATAAATATTCTAAATTCTTCTTGCTATAATAATAAAACAAATACAACAAATAAAAAAGTTAATACTTTTGAAATATGTAAAGTATGTAAAATATGTCAGAAATAACATTTTTAGCATTATGCACCTTGGCGTTAAATTTAAGGGAAATCTTTATATGTATACGTACATATATATAGAGAGAGAATATATGCATGTGTATATGTGCGCGCGTGTGTGTGTGAAAGTACGAAGATATATGAGGAGAGATACGAAGAAATAAAAAAACCGAAACTAATAGTCGGGTATGTAGATTGCCAACATAATATGTAGGCAAAAATGTCGATTAATCCTCTTGAATACAATATTAAGAGCATGTAAACAGCTGACGAAGCTTCCCACGTAAAAAATTTGACGGTCTCAAAATCGTAAAACAGAATATGAAACGTCAAATTACGCAAAAATTTATTATTAATAAATCTCAATGTTAATTGTATCAAATTGGGTTTTACCGCGTCTTATTCTGTATTATTATATATTTTCTTATTATTTGTAAGTATTATTATTGTATACACATACATACATGTTATAACAATGCTCAACCAGCATTTGATTGTCTTTAAGTAAATCTTTTGTTTAGTTTATATTTTTTTACACGATGTATCAAAATCCATTACCTTTCTAATAAAGATTAATTTAAATAAAATACTAACTTGTGACATAATTCATAAAATTTCAATATAATTATGTTTTTGGAATGAGATGAAAAACAAAAATAACCAAGTATATTATAATTAAAAAATTATATTTAAAATATTTTGTTATAATACTTACATATATATTTAAATAATAAATTATACATTGACAACAATGATTGTAATTTCAATTAAATCAATTTTTCTTTATTATGTTTATATACAATTAATGTTTGTAGTGATAATAGCAATTAATGATAATGATTATGATTATAGTTAAAATGTTTGGTAATCCCAATCAATTAACATTGTAGTTTGTTTTAGTAAATGCGTTCTATAGTGTTGACTCGATAATGAATGACATGATTGTAAAATCATAAAAAAAAGTAAAATATTACAAAAAAAAGAAAAAAAGTGTTTATAGCTTGATATAGAAATATAGATAAATACGGAATAAATAATGAATTATTATATGTTAATGCATTATCGTCCAATTTGCCTCAATTTTTTTCAGTTGAAAATAGAACTTTGTGTTTCATTAATTATTATTGTATACTGTATTTATACAGTTGATTACATAAAGATATATGTATGCTACATTCATTATTGGAATTAAAAAAATTACTCATATTCCTATTATATGGAAAAAACCCTTGATAAATAAAAAATTAAAAAATAAATTTGTACTTTATTCTATAATATATAGAAGAATTAAAGAAAGAATAAATCTTCATATGTACACACATAATTGCTTAAACACATTTTTTTGTTTAAACTGGAAGTACAATACATATATATATTTCTATACAACAACAATTTATTATTATTTCATATAAAGGTACAACTCAGCAATATAAACGTAATAATGATATTGTAAAACATAATTCAATAAAAATATGTTTAATCATTATGATAATATTTGCAAACTAAGAAATAGATTGTATAGTATGTATAAAGTGTTTAAATTTCATTCATTAAAAAGATTTTCACTATAGATATTTAATTGATGAACAATGAAAATTTTATCTATTATTATTCCCGTTTCTCTAATAAAAATAGATAAATAATAACAGAATATGAATTTCGGAAATAAAAATGAAAATGAATGTATCGATATATGATACATATAATCGATTCAATTTATGGTTTACTTCCATTTTATTATGTTTTATAATATTCTTACCCAAATTATTCTATTACAATTATATGTAGTACATAACTACGAATATAGTGAAGTTACAGTAAGAAAATGAAAAATTAAATATAAATGTTTCGACCGTTGAAAAACATTGAAAAACAACTTGAGCATAATTTAAATGCATAAAGTATTCAAGTTCTTAAGTTTATTTTTTCGAAAATCAAAACATTTATAATTTCTTACTTACTATCACCTCACTATATCTGTGATCCATACTATACACACTGTGTAACTTATTTTTCTTTCAATATTTTAAATCATTCTTTAAATGATTTATTTATTATTTACGATATTCGACGTATTTAAAAATTTGTATTCCACTTGTACTTTAACGTAAATTAGTCCTTTTAACATCGATATCTATTTCATCTGAATTATTTTTTGGAACTAAACCCAAACTGTTTAACATTCCGGACGGTGCAGTATCTTCCACTGGATAGGCAGACATTTTTTTACATCTAATTAAATGTGTTGCTAATTGATTTCCATCAATTGTTGCATAACCACACGAACATTGCATTTTTTTATCTAATGGAATATTAATAAGAGGAGAAGGAACTACCAAACTTGTCATTGGTCGTTCATTATGAATTTGTTGTTGGTGTTCTTTAAATGCACGCCAACAACAAGTTACATAGCAACATAATTGACATTTTTGTTCACCTGGATAATGATCTTGTTCATCTATGTCTTCTTCACATTCTTGACAAGATAGATGTTCATCAAATGGAACATTTACTATAACTGGACCAGTGATCCATTTTTTGATTTTTTCATCACATGGTAATTCTGGTACAGGACTATCAATTTCATATCGTCTACTTTGAAATCTTTGTTTTGAAATCATAATTCCATTATTACCATTTGAATATGGAATAACTTTTGTACCAGATACAGAGTCATGCAATTCTCTTTGATGAATTTTTAATGAACTTTTTTGATTAAACCATAAACAACATCTTGAACATTTATTTCCCCGTCCTTGTTCCTTTCTGATAACATGCCTTTGCATATGTAATAAAAATGCATGAACGCTGGTAACATTAGGATTACCGTTTCTTACAAAACCTATTACTTTCAAACAATAAGGACATTGTAATCCTTCACCTTTCTCGTGAACTCGATAAAAATGATCAATAACGTCCTTATGACTCGAAGTACGATAACCACAACTTTCACATCGATAGGGCATTTCTGAAGGACAATGCATCGATGATAAGTGATTTATAAGAAGGCCACTGTTTCCAAATTTTTGTTCACAAATGGCGCAAACAACCATGTCGCTATCAGAATGACCAAAGCTACTATGTGCTTCTGTAACGTGCGTAATCATTTGATGTTGAGAAGAAAATGCTGTGCAACAATACCTACAAACCGGAGAATTTGATTGTCCTGGTACTTGTGGTGGCACATGACCAATAGTGTGTTCCATCACATCTGTATTTGAACGCATCATTGTAGGACAAAGAAAGCATTTAAAGTATAAAGACGATTTATATTCTTTTAAAAGAAGTGTTTTTTCACCTTCCATTGTAGCATAATAAAATTCTTGTAATTGTATTTGGTCGTTTTTGCACTCCTTATCTTTTTCTCTACCTTTTGAATCAAAACTTTTTTTCAGATCAGGCTCTGGGCTAATTGTTGTTGCTATATTTCTTTTTCGTCCTCTTTTCGAACCGGATTTTGTTATTTG